ATTACATATAGAAATAAGTAGAAGTAAGTAAAAGTAGATAAAAGTAAGTTAATTCTATAATATTTAATATAGAAGCTTCTTAGAAACTTCCTAGATGCTGCTTTGACTTCATAGGTGTCTTTAATTGACTTTTTGGATTAGAAACGTGGTCAACAAGTTGGCCATGTGCCACACATGTTGTTAGCTTGAAGATCAAGCTAACTATGTGGCCCACACGTAGAAAAACTTGTCTTGTAAGTCAAGGCATGTATCCTACAAAGTCAACACATATTGGAGGTCCTATAGAACGTCGCCACGTAGCCCCTAGTTAGATAGTATATATAGAGACAAGAGTGAAGGCTTCTTCACTCTTGTCAACTCCTTTCTTGCTTCTAGTCCAAGTTCAAGAGTCTTTAGTTTCTTGTCTTGTGGCAATAGCCATTCCAGTTTCCTTTTAATATACCTACTTGTTTATATTTTGACTTATTATATCAAGATAGCCTTTTTGTGTATATTTTCTCTCATCGAGTCTTTGACCTTGACACCTATATGTTCTAGAAGGAGAAGCACGTTTACGTATTGTTCAAGCTCGTCATGACTTTCCAAGAGTAGGACATTTTGGATATAATAAGACTTTGGAGTTGATATTTAGGGATTTTTGGTGGCCTCAAATGTGGAAGGCAGTCAAAGATTTTGTACAATCATGTGATGTTTGCTTAAGATCAAAAACTCCTCGTCATCTATCTTTTGGACTTCTTCAGCCATTACTCATTTCAGAACAACCATGGTCTTCTGTTTCTATGGACTTCATCACGGATCTTCCAATCTCAGGTTCTTATGACTCTATATTCGTGATAGTAGATCGTTTTACCAAGATGGCACATTTTGTACCATGTAAAAAATCTATCACAGGTGAAGAAACAGCTAAGCTCTTTTTTGACAATATATATCGCTATCATGGATTATCTAAGGATATTATATTAGATAGGGGAACTCAATTTGTATCAAGATTTTGGCGGACTCTTTTCAAGATTCTAAAAGTGGATATTAAACTATCTTCGACATTCCATCCTCAAACTGATGGACAAACGGAGCGTGTTAATCAAGTTTTAAAGCAATATTTAAGATATACCATTAACTACCAACAAGATGATTGGACAACTCTTTTGCCATTGGCAGAGTTTGCTTACAATAACACAATACATTCTTCTACAAAACAAACACCTTTCTTTGCTAATTATGGTTATCATCCATGACTTGATATTTTTGACTTTTCAAAAGTTGATAATCCTATTGCAAAAGATTTGGCGATTCATTTGTCAGAGCTACATGGAACGATGAAGGCTCAATTAAAAGAGGCTCAAGAACAACAAAAGGTCAATGCGGATGTCTATCGAAAGGAACAACCACCATTCTTCTTGGGTGATAAAGTATGGCTACTTCATCATAATATCAAGACCACTCGTCCTTGTGACAAGTTGGACTATCGAAGACTTGGACCATTTTCTATTTCTATACAAATCAATCCAGTTGCATATCGTTTACATCTACTGGAGTCAATGAAAATCCATCCAATATTCCATGTGTCTCTTTTTGAACCATACAAGACAATGGACATACCAAGAAGACGACAAGTTCCACCTCCTCTTATAGAAGTGGACAATAATGAAGAATTTGAAGTATAAGAATTCTTAGATTCAAGGCGGCGCCGAAATAAATTAGAATATCTTGTCCATTGGCACGGATATAATATTAGTGAATGCACATGGGAGCCAATAAAGAATCTTGCAAATGCAGCAAAGCCGGTGGAGGCTTTTCATCGACAACATCCATCAAAATCAAGATGAAAACCTTCTTTATAAAAGAAACAACCTCTAGGCAAGATAACATTCTACTTTCAATCCTTGTTCGTAGCTTCTTTGTAGTTGTGACGCTTAGGAGATGGAGAACCAACCAGTGGATTCGACTCAAGAGCCTTCATTTGCTGACCTACCGGATGAGACATTATAATTGTCACAACCTTCAAGACGACGCAATCGAGATGAAGATCTTCAAGAATGACATGTTCTTCTTCGAATAGATGGCGAGATACAACGCGTTTGGTATCATGATTTGAGAAGGGACTCCCGATGTTTGGTGATTTTGCTAGAGGTAGGAACAACTCTTGATGGTGTTCCAAATGTTCTATTCGAAGGAAGTTATGAAGGGCTCATTAATGATCAAATAACTGGGTGGTCTTTCTGCCTGGTATGGGACATTACCGATGGTTGAGAGGCCCTATCAATCATCTTCGAAGAGAACAAAGATCAGAGTATGTGGCAAATACAATTCGTCGCATCATAGATTTTTTCAACATATGATGACTGTTCCTCGTGGAACTCGTCCCTGGAAGGGAGGTAATGTCACGGATATACTCATGTAAGCTAGTAATTACATATATAAATAGGTTGAAGTAAGTAAAAGTAGGTAAAAGTAAGTTAATTCTATAGTATTTAATATGAAAGCTTCTCAGAAGCTTTATAGATGTTGCTTTGACTTCATATGTGTCTTTAATTGATTTTTTGGATTAAAAACGTGGTCAACAAGTTAGCCATGTGCCACACATGTTATTAGCTTGAAGATCAAGCTAACTATGTGGCCCACACTTAGAGAAACTTGTCGTTTATGTCAAGGAATGTGTCCTATAAAGTCAACACATATTGGAGGTCTTAGTAAAAAATGACTTCATTAAATCTATAAGTTGAATTAGAAGAGGATAATTTGCAACTTCTAATATCAAATAAAAGTTTCTATAAAGAATGATAGTCTACTATTTTAAAAAAAAGAATCAATGTTAGAAGACAAAAAATGTTAATTTAAATGTAATAGTCTTCAACCTTCAAAGTACCATAAATAAAGTAGGATAATTCACTCACTTATTAAACAAAACAAAAACAATGAATCAACACTCTTTTTAAATTATAAAAGATATGAATCTTAAATAATAAAATCCTGAGTATACTCTTTTATTATTTTTAAATAATACATAATAACTCAAAAATAATATGATGTTATAATTAAAATGACTATTGCCAATGATAAAAAGATTATAGACTCTTAAAAGTGGACTAAGAACAAAAAAGGTGTCAATAAGAATAAAGATGGCTTCATTCTTGCCTTCATATATACTATGTAATTAAGATCTATATGTTGACATTTTGAAAGACCTCCAATACATATCCAATTTGCAAGACATATATTTAACTTGCAAGACAAGTTTCCTACATATACGCTATATAGTCAATTTGCAACACAAGTTGGCAACATGTAATACATAAGTTTCCATCATGTGCAACATATGGCTAATTTATTACTTAAGTGTTCAATCTACCAATTAACTACAAACATGTATAAAATAAAACTTATATCAATAAAGCTTTTAGAAAGCTTCACTAAAATATATTATTAAATTTATACATATATATATATATATATATATATATATAGCTTCTATCCAACACTTATTATCTAAGTAATTTTATATATTTGTGATATTTGAAAGTACATAAATAATGAATCTATATATTTCTTTTATAATTTATATAAATACCTTAGTTCTAATAAATCAAGATTGAAATAGTTTGCTTGTATTTAGACTAAATCTTAGAATAATCTATTTTAATTTTCAATAAATACAAAAAATATGTAAATTAAACTAACAGTGATCAAATATTATAAATTATAAAAACATTTTTTAATATGAGATATAATATCAAATATTTGATGTCATAATGTCACTTTTAATGGCTTAGTTTCTTCTATAATATCTTCAAATGTAAGTGATTGTCCATCAATAACTTCTATTAGAGTCAATAAAAACTTCTTTGAAACTATTATTTTTTGTTGTAATACAAAGTCTCTATCCATAAAATATATTGAGGCTTTTGTGTCTTAAATTTCTTGAGCTAAAAATTAACCACTTAAGTTTTTTATAAAAATAAGAAGTTTGAAACAAATTATAAGATCTAGTAGTAGCATCAGATTTAGATTTAATGGTTGTAATTTAGAATAATCTGATTACAAGATTTCTATTGCAACTATACATCTTTATTTTTTAACTTTTCTAGATTTGAGCTTGTACTCATTTCCTTAAATCCACTTAATTTGATGTAACATTCTTATACCTTGTGACTTATTTTTCTATAATATAAATGTAAGATTTCAGAATATTATTTGTATGTTTCTTCTAATATTAATTATTTGACTTGAAATAAATGAATTTAAAAAAATTATAGCCATGATGTGTAGATTTATGAGAATTTAACAATTGTAATCATTACTTGTTTCATTCATCTTCAACCAAATCATTGTTCTTGGTGTCTTTCAAAGAGCCAATAGTTTCATGCAATTGCTTGAGTGATAAATTATACTATTGAATCTACTTTCCATATTGTCAATAATTTTTTTTATTCATATTATTAAATTGATTAATATTTAATCACATATATTTTTTATATTATAATAATAATAATATATATCTTTAAATTATTTTTAATATTTTATTATTTGGAAATAAGTTTATATTATATTGAAAATAATAAGTAGCAAAACTTAAAATTGGAACCAATAAACCACTTATACAAATATTCAGGCTAATGGTTTGAATTTTTTACAAAGCACATATTAAACTTATTGTGGTTTAGAGTAGTTTCTATATAATAGTTGAATTTATGTTATTTTGAATCAATTTTTCTTTTGATAGATTGTTATTTAATTATTCATCTCCAACTAAGGTGTTTTTATGGAATTTTAAAATAGATATACTATAAGATATTTCTGTCTCATTGTCAATTGTTTGGAATTTAATTTTTATAATCATGTAAACTTTGAAAGGTTCTTGTTGTATGTATTATATCGTTCGTTCGTTCGTTCGTTGCCTTCGTTCAGTGGCATTGCGGACGTGGGGGTGCTCCCTTCGATTCATCCTCGTGGGTTTCGTTGTCATTTCCTCCCTGACTTGGCGACACTTCTATTGGTTTAGGTTTAGGGTTTCGGGTGTCTGGCTTCGACCCTTGTGGTTTCATGTTGTTCCCCTCCAAACTTCGTGATGCTTAATTCGCATCGTGGGTAGGAACACAGTGTTTGCTTGATTGAAGCACCTGTTGGTGTCCATTTTCAAGCCATTGAGTTCTATCTAAACCTACCCTTGAAAGATTTGTTCGAATAGATGGAGGACGACCGCAATCTGGACTTAGGGCATGTGGCGTGCGTGCGATGCAGCAAGGCTGCTCTTTTGCAGTAAGTATTTTGGGTGTTATTTTTGGATTATGTTTGTGCGCAAGTAGATATTACTGTGGCCATTTTTTCCCGTGGCTGTCGTTTGTATTTGTTTTCGTTTGATCCAAGTTTACGTACCCACCCGTTGGTGCAGATTGAACTTTTTTCAGATTCTTTGGGTGCGTAATGATGGAGAATAGGGTGCAAGCGCACAGCGATAGCTAGGGAATCTGATGAGATGCACAATTGAATAACGATACTGCAGTGGATACTTTGACTGAAAGTCATAATAAAATTCAAATGTGTTCGAAATCATGCAGACTTTGTCTTTGGATGTTTGTTGAGATTTGAGTTTTCGATGAGCAGCTGTAAATTAATTGTGTAGATGCCGTTCCTTCAGTGAGTATTCGCGGATAGGAAAGTAATGGATAAAAACTTTTCACACATGTTTCTAGGTACTTCGAAGTGACTTAATTTTTATTGAGAACCAGTCTAGTTCAAATGGGAACTTGTTGAGTTCCCGGAACAGTACTACACGAAGTTCTGTAGATTACTCTTTTGCGGACTTGCCTATTTTGATATTCAGTTTTATGTATTACAATTTACTGACTACTATCTGATGTATTGCAGGTGCCCGAAGTGTTTAGAGCTTAAATTGCCGCGTGTCAATGCGTCCTTTTGGTACAGTTGTGATTTCTTACAAAGTTACCTGGACTTTTTTGAACCCCAAGATATGAGCAACGCCTTTTATTTAGACTGAATCAGAAGTCAAAAAAACATTTCACAGAAATGTAGAGAAATCTGGAGAATGTCATCCACAGTCCTTTCATGGAAAATACATCATTTCTCGTCGGACCTCTGACAAGGGCGTTGGGGCAGTTCGCAGGGTTGTTTTAAGGAATCATGGAATTCACACAAGGCTGTTCATACTGCGTTGAGTCAAAAACAAGAGGGTGTGACTCATGGTTTGCAGGATCCACATGCTGACGCTTTGGCCCGAGGGTGGATGTATTGCCTCCGGAAGGGCCAAAGTCGAAGCTCGGAGTTGCCAAATTTCGATTGGACAGGGTAAGCTGACTTGATAGAAAGTTGTTTGCATGATGCTATCTCCTTTAACAAGCTTCTGATATGTCTGCCTACTAATATAATTTATTACCTTTGTTCAGACCTTTAAGAGCATATCCAATATCACCTCGACGCTTTGTCCCCGACCACATTCCCCGTCCTGAATGGGCTTCTACGGTTGTCCTATTCCCCACCCGATCAGTGTGCTGTGTAGTTTAACGTTTATTTTTGTGAAACACTGGCCAATTCAGGTGCGTACATAGTAGCAGGGTACTGCGTATGTAGCAATGATGGATCTTAGATTTCACCTTAGATTCAATTGCTGTTACCAAGTAGGTCTCATCGTTTTTGGTGAATGGTGTGCAGGGCAGACCCCAACAAGAAATGAACAGTGAATGGCAGAATAGTGTAGAGGTAATTGTCCCGACGTATTCAATCTTAGTTTACACCTTAATTTACTTATTAAACATCTGTGTGACCCGCGATTCTACTTCGGTCTTATCTTCCGAAATTATTGCTCTAGTGTCTATCAGACGTTGAGTTTCAGTTAGAGGAACAATTGATCAGGTTGATATTTTTATCAATTATGTCTATTGTGTTTCTGAGCATTGTGATTTCTGTCACAGATTAAATCTCCAGCACAGATAGCCAAACTGCGAGAAGCTTGTAGGGTACGCAACGTTCTTAGATCCAGAGTTCAACTTCATCTTACGTTCTTAATTTTTTGTCTATTTTGTGACATTTTTTATCATTATTCTCCCTTATGTTTCTCTTGATATCCAATCACTCTTGTCATGGTGTTGGTATTTAGAATGTCTTGTGCTTTCCTTCACAATGCAGACCTGAACCTAGTGATAAGCACTTAATCTTGAAACTGTTGTGGTATTGTGGTAGTCTAGGGCAAAATTGTGACTGGGTTGTGTCCAAGATTATCCCTGTGCCCAAATTTTACCTCTTTATGCTTGAGATCAAACGGAGTTTATTTCTTGTAGTATTTCCTCGATCTCCAAGTTATTTGCAGAAACTGTAAAAGAAGGTAGATGATAGAGTAATTTGGTGTTGTGTTATGTGGTTAGGTTGGAAGAGAAGTGCTAGATGTAGCAGCAAGAGCAATCAAGCCAGGAGTGACCACTGACGAAATAGACAGGATTGTGCATGAGGCTACAATTGCAGCTGGTATAAATCATTTCCGTTCTGTGACTGCTGTGGTCAAACATGTTCTTGTTGTTTTCTGAAGCTTGTTTTTCTAATATATTAGAGTTTTTTTGTGTTGCACATTGTTTTAGTCATTTACTTGGATGCCGCGTAGAGTAACATTGTTCTGGAGCAAACCAAAATAATCATTTATTTACTTTTCTTGTCCTTTTTGAATCATTTTCAGTTTTAATGCGTAGTATGTCTTGTAGGAGTAAGTGGGAAAGAGGTATGATCAGCGTCATCACTGACACTATCCTTTCAAATTGCAGGTGGCTACCCTTCACCTCTGAATTATCACTTCTTCCCAAAGTCTTGTTGCACGTGAGGCATCAGCTCTCATATTCTTCCCTCACGTTCTTCTCTTGAACAAAACATATATGACTTGCTACATTCCTGAACAAATATGCTTACCTGTATACTGTATTTCTAAGACTCATAGGTCAATATCTTATTTGGCTTGGTTGGTAGGTCTGTAAATGAAATAATCTGCCACGGCATACCCGATGCAAGGTAAATCTCAAGGCCTTCTTTTTGAAGCACTAGAGCCTTGCTGAGAATAAGATGTTTCCAAGCGTTAAATTTTCTTCACTGTAATCAGAATTATTGTCTATGTCTTCATGTTCATTATTTTATGTCTGGGTGCTGCTTAATCCTGCTAAATTTCTGCAGACCGTTGGAAGAGGGTGACGTCGTCAATGTGGACGTTTCAGTCTATCTGAATGGCTGTCATGGTAAAGCTCTGGTTGTTGTGGCTGGCTTTTATGTGATCAGCAAATGCTCCTTATGATCTCTTTGTAAATCATTATTTTCATATTTTGCTGTCATTTTCTTTTGTCTACATTCAATAGATAATTTACACTTTCACCTTTATTCAAAACACATACATGAGCCGATTCCAGGCATATGCAGGACTTATGCTTGGAAGAGAAAATTTGTGAAGCTGAGCCAGCTACTTGGTTGAACAGGGGATTTAAACGAAACTTTCTTCGTTGGAAAAGTAGACAAAGCATCGGAAGATCTTGTGCGGAGTACCTATGAATGTCTTGAGAAAGCCATCGCTTTAGGTTTTCTTCTAATCCTGCCCTCATATTGTAAACTTTGTTTTCAAATTGAATGTGTTTTGCGTGTGTTGCTGTTCGGCTGTCCCAAATATGGAAACATATCTTAATAGATTCTTTCAAATCTATTTTCTCTGGTTGACTGAGTTCATGCGTGTTCAGAGTAACTTGTAGTATATTTCACACGTGAGTCAGATACTAGAAATCTGATTTACTGGTTGTATACTAGATCATTGACAGCATGGTGCTCCACGATTTTATTATTAATATTATTATTGTTATTATTATTATTGTTTGAAAAATAGTTACTTTGATTTTTATTTTCATTTACTTTTGAGAATGTTAGACATGGTTTTACCTGCATCTATTTGGAAAGTCGACCTTTTTGTGAAGTTTATACGAATCATTCTTTATTAAATCGAAACATATTTTCATTTGCTTGTTGCTGAACCTGCCTGTGGCATGTGCACAGTGAAGCCTGGAGTACGTTATCGGGATGTTGGTGAGGTTATCAGTAGACACGCCTCGTTGAATGGCCTCTCTGTGGTACTGATGATATTCCCATTTTCTCTCTTCGATTAGGAGATGCTTCTGAAAAGATCTCTGCTGAAGCTTGTGGATTATCATGAACCTTGACATAATTCTTTTTGTGGTATTTGAAAAGATATAGGAGCATATAGGGAGCAACGAGTTGCCTTCAAGTCAAAACTGCGGTCGATCGAAATCTAACATCTGTTGTGTGCAGGTGAAGTCGTACTGTGGTCATGGAATAGGAGAGCTTTTTCATTGTGCACCTAACATTCCACACTATGCTCGTATCCTTAATTATTGTATTTATGACTGTCCTGAGGTTCTGATGCTTTGAAGTAATACCATATGTAAAATATGAATTGATCAATGGTTTATTGGTGTGTTTTTCTACGTTTCATGTATGGCTCATGCTCTTGGTTGAACTGGATTTGTGTGCTCCAGTTGAGGTTCTTTTGTAGTGAAGTTTCTCTGGGTAAATTGAAGTGTCGCCTTAACCATTATTTATTAGGCAACAAAGCTGTGGGAGTAATGAAGGCAGGACAAGTCTTCACAATCGAACCCATGATTAATTCTGGTCAGTACATGATAAACTTCTTTGCAGCCTATGATAAGATTAAACTGTTTAACAGTATTCCTGTGAATTCCCCAATTCGGATGGCTCCATGCAGTATTTATCACCTTCTGTACTGCGTCTCATCGGCACTAAATGTCGATCTCTTTTCAGGGTCTCAAGTTGGTTTAAGCTTCATGAACTCATTTTAATCAAGGCTTTACTAGATGTGCTACTTAGATACCAAATTGATAATCAACTTAGGATGAAATAAAATGAAGCAATGGAAAGATCTTGTCAAAAGCTTCCAGAATGACAATTTCCTGATTTTGCAGCAAAAACAATTTGTTTACGTTTGTGTGTGTGTGTTATATTACTTTATATTTTATATTTTACAATGAGTGAATGGATAACTTTGTAATATCATCAGGTGTCTGGAGAGATAGGATGTGGCCAGATGGGTGGACTGCGACTACTGCAGATGGCAAGCGCAGCGCGCAATTTGAGCATACGCTTCTGGTACGCAGCACTATTTTCTTTTGCTTCTTAAAATCTTTCACTCATCATTGCTGCTCGTCGACTTCTTGTCTTTGGTCCCATTTACATTATCAAGCCTAGTGAATTGACTCTTACTTTTTGTTTTGAAGGTGACGGATACTGGAGTTGAAGTTTTGACAGCTCGTCTCCCAACATCTCCCGATGTGTTTCCTTGGTTAAAAGATAGTTCTCAAACTGTGGTTTGAATAATTAAGTAAATGGTACTGAACATGAAGTTAGGGCTGAATCCAAGGCCTTACACAAATGCCGGGTACTGTATAATAGGAATTGGATTGTAATAGAAAGATCTAGTATTGAACATATATTCTAGAATCTATCTGGGACCGACCCTCGTACGACATTATGGTTTGTGGGCGAGACTATTTTGTCTGTAATCTCTACATAGATCTGGACTGATTTTCGCTTATTTAAACACCTCCTTGCACTCCAAATTTCACTCACTAATTTACTCAGACTGAAAATTATTTATTCATTTGTTCTCTCGTGGAAGATGCATGCATTCTGGGAGTCAGAATCTTGACCTCCACAAATTGAATGTAGCGAATTTTCTCTGCGTAAACATGAGCAAATGTGTGGTATTCTTTTAGATGTTTCCGAAGATTTTTTTATTGACCTCTATTATTAAGTTTGTGAAACATCGTCTAAACTATATGTAGGTAAAGGACGAACCTCATTCACTCATGTATATTTTCCTTGATGTGGGATTGTACTTGTGCTAAAAATCTACAGTCTACTAATCCAATTTACATTCTTTTATCAATGTAAGTTTGATGTTGACATCTATATATACATGTATATACACCCTAAACCCTAAACCTGTCTCTTAAAAAATTACCCCCCCCCCCCCAAATTAATAATCTCTAATAATTAATCAAAATTTTGGAAATTGACTTTGTTCTAAGGTGCATAATCAATAACCTCAAATTTTTATTAATTAATTGATTTTCATTGACTCTTATTAAGTAACAAAGGTAAAAACTTATAAATGGCTGGGTGAGACAAGACTATCTGGCTACCAAGACAAAAGCATGCATCCTAGATTGTAGGGTCCTAGCAAAACTAATTCCATCTTACCAATATAGTAGCACCAATTACTTTCTCATGTTGGCACTTGGTTGTACAATCTTGTCCTTGGTGTCTTCAAAGCTCAAAATCCAAGCAGTAAAGTGTTGTATCAACTTCATGGATATCTCTTGCTGAAAATTAATTAATTAATTAAATCACCTTTGATAATTAATAATTTTGTTTTCCAATAGATGATATTGATTAACAAGGGACAATTATATATATGTATATATATCTATATATGTTATGACATGATAAGGTCAAACTATTGTTTTATCAATACAAAGTCTAATTTTTAAAAATATGTTTAATTTTTTTGTTTTATTATTTTGCAAACATTAAAAACACATTAAATGTCAAATGCACAAGAAAAGGACAATGAATGTATTATTAGTAGAAGTTAGACATTATTAAAATATATTATATTTTTAAGAAATATTTGAATAGCATTTTATTTTCATTTCTTCATAAGAATATTTTGAAATTACACCTAGTGTTTCATATTTTAAAAAATATACTTGAAATATATATATATATATATATATAACTACATTAGATATAAATTAAAGGCCTATTATTTATTGACTTTGATTAAAAAAATATATAAAGTTGCTAATGAGCATGATAATTTTAGAGTTTATATTTACAATTCTATTCATATTTGTGTAGATTTATAGATAAAAACAACTATGGTATTATAATTGGAGGTTTGTTATATTTATATTATTTGTTGTATTTTAGTTTATTGACAAGATTGCATTATAAAACCATGAGATTTAAAATATAATATCTTGTTTTATTTATACCTAATAAGTATATTATTATACATAAATATTAATAAAATATTATTGTATGTACATAGCAATAAAATATATAGTATATATTATATATATGGTTAGTTAAAAATATTATAGTATTTTAGTTTATATATATATATATATATCAAAATATAATATAAGCAATTATATCTTATTTTATTTGTACCTAATAAGTATGCATAATAAAGAGATAATGACCAAAGCAAATTAAATAAGTATGCTATATTAGCATCAAAAGAGATATTTGGATTGTGAAAGTACACCTATATATTTAATATAAGATCTTAAATTATTGGACTTTCAACCCAATGCAAATAGAAGCAAGTAAAATACAATCTTTTAAAATGTAGGTAAAAATAATATAATTTGTCTTTTCTAATTAAATTTTCTATTTTATTTATTTTTGATATTTAACAATGTAATTTTTAAACTTCAATGTGGAACAAATAAAATTCTTTATATTAGATATAATAAAGTAATACATAGGTGATACTTTATTTTGAGTAGAAAGTCCATTTGTGAAGGGATTTTAAAATTAAAAATTTATGGATTAAAACTATATTTAGATAAGTTAAAAATTCTATTATTAAAAAAAAATTTACCTTGGTTTTATAATCTACTATATACTAAAAGTGATAAAATTTAAGTGGCATTTAAAATATCTATGCAATTGCTATAAAATTTGAAGTATTTGAAAGCATTTGTGGTACTTTTAAGTAGTATTATGAATATTAAAATATTATAAAACCAAGTTATAATTTTTTTGTATACAAATTATAAAACATGGTCTTTATAAACATTTAGATTTGAATTTAAACTTTAAATTTTATAAAAACATCTATTTTATAAGAATACTATTATTAAAAAGTATAAATGTATTTATTTCAATTTAAGTAGATTACATGTTGATGCTGTGTTTATATAAATTATTATGAAATGAATTTAAAAGTCAATAATAAATACAAATATTTAATATAATTTATATAAAATCATGAAATTTAAAAATAAATCAGATATTCAAAATATCAATCTCTTTTAATCACATTATACAAAATTTTATTAGATAATTCCAAAACAAAAATCAAAGTTGAAAATTGATTTAAATTTTGACTATAGTGGGTTTGTGCCCATGTTTATTTACTCAAATTATGTTATGTATATATATATATATATATATATATATATAAATATATATCACAATCAAGATTTTTGTCTTAAATTAATTAGATTAATAAATTTCTTGTTATAATAAATTAATGTAAATAACTACTTAAATTCTTTTAAACTTTTCATCTCTATTAAAATAAATATTTAGTTATTTAGTTATATTTTTATATCTATATTGCATATTGAAAATACATAATAATTAGATTTAAGTTTAAAAGACTCTATAGAAATTATTATTAGCTTTTTCTATTATATTTTAAATTAATACGTAAAATATATACTTAAGACTATTGTTATATCAACATATTTTTCAAATAATTATATTATTTCTAAAGAATATAATGTATTTTTTGTATAATATATATATAAAAATAAATTATTCTAATTATAAATAATTTGAATGGTTTCATTAATTTTAAAATATTATATTTTTATAAATTTAAATTTAGTTATTTGAAATCCTTATTTTAAAATTTATTAGACTTCTTTGATTTCTTATAAATATCATTATTAAATTAAAATATCAAATATAATACAAAATAATATATTAATTATTATACTTATCACAATAAATCTAAGTCTTTGAATATAATGTAATGTATTATCTCAAGTTTTTAGGTTTGAATAAAAATTTTGTTAAATTTTTATGAATTGAAATAATAATATATTACTTAGAATAACATAAATGATATAAAAATTGGATATAAGTTTTATACATGTTAAATAAATATGTTGTTGGTGGTACTTAAAAATTATTAAGATTTTGTAGTAGTTTTAATAAAAAATTGAGATATTTAATTAATTTCTACTTTTTTTTTTTTTTTTTTTTTTTTTTTTTCAGTAAAAGAGATAGTTTTACTTATTAGAATATTTTTTTTTTCTTATTTACTATCTTAAACTATTATGGAATGAATAGATTATCAATGCTATATGGTTTCTTTAAATTCTTTTTGATATTTTGGATAAATTTGTATTAACTTTATTTATTCATTAATATCTTATTTTTGTTAATTTGAATGAATTTATTCTTAATTTATAATATGTCATGAAATTTCTATTTTTGTAATTATAATATAATAACGTAGTTATGACTATAGAAAGAAAATATTCATAATATAATTGTACACATAATAATTCACTTTAAGAGTTTGATGATACAATAATTAATACTTATTATAGCATAGCTGCTCAAATTATTAATGGAATCATGTTATTTTATAACTTTAATAAAAATAGTAATTTAATATTTTAAAAATTAATCCTTAAATATTTATTAATTATAAAATACAAGATGATCTCAATAATTGTATTATAACTTTCATTAAAAAAATATTATACTTTTTTGTGCAAGAGGCATAATTCTAGCAACAGAAACAATCATTTATTTAATATTTTAAGGTTATAACATCTTTGTAAAGTATATTTTGAACCTTTACATCAATGCAAGAGATATTTTTGTTTCATTATTATTTTCATGAAAAGGGTCCACCAAGGGTGGCAAGGAAGGAAGGAATGAAGGATTGAAGGAAGTTGTGTGGTGCGGTTTGATGCTCCCATGATGACGGTAGCTTCAACCTACTTCTTCCGTTGCCAGGATTCATTCCCTGAGTGAGTGAGTGAGTGAGTGTGTGCAATATATAATCAAGCTCATCTCCATCCTTAAGAACATCGCATCTCTTCATCCAGCTTCCCCCACAACCATTAAACATTCGACCACGAGTGAAGAACCAACCACACACATCGCTCATCATTTTCCGCCTACTACCACCTCCTCCTTTTCTCCCGCTTGTTAATTTTCATTATTTCCATTCAAATCCGGTATATTCCTATGCTGCAAGATGGAAGTCTCACTTTGTTTCGCAATTGAACAGTTTTTCTAAACTCAGATTGCAACCTGGAACTCTGAATGTTTTGTCTCAGAGTGGGTAATATATTCTAGGACCTACGCATTCATTATAACTGAGTACACAAACAACATGTCAACATATCATCTCAGGGAACTAGCACCTGGTCGCAGATTGCAATTTATGTTCAATTACTTAGATATTAACTCTAGTCAGAGAAAGGTAACTCCTTAGCCAATATGAAAACTCCGTGCTGCAATTTTTTTGTGATTGTAGGAGTTGGCTTTTGGAATGTGTGGTCGGTGGTGTGATTCCACTAAATGCGTTCACCTCACCCAAGGCACCGATGGCTGGAATTGGAGAGCCAAGTGCTCAAACCCATTCGGTGGCCTTTATTGAATCAAATTCAAAGTCCAATGATTCGGAATATCAACAAAGAACCTGGATTGGATATTGGGGACAAATGAAGTACAGCTCTCCAAATGCAGATCCTTGGCTGGTGATTTTGTTTGCATTGTAGACCTATTCCATTCTTCCATGTCCTATTGGAGCATCTGCTGAAAGATCTTAAATGTGCA